TCTTACCACTCAAGGACAGGCATGTTGCATTTGTGTTTTAAAAGCTGCTGAGCTCCTTATTTGGGAATCAAAGAAACTAACCTTTAGGTCATTCACAACTACTTTCTCCCACTATAACCTGTCCTATCTCTTAACTTATAAATTCTTACAAATCTTATCTCCTTCTCAAGTTCTTTCTCTCCATGTAGTGTTACTGGAAGATGCCATTCTTGCTTTCCAGGCTTCTCCACCCCTTCATATTTCAAGCCACCTTCCTCAAACTAACCCTGACAATTCTCTATCTCTTTCCTGCACTGAAACCTAGAGGAACTGTTGCCCTGTCCTTCACATACACAGGAGGACACATTACTTCAGGCCACGTATACCTGATAAACAGATGGCAGCTGCTTTTCACATGTGGGGACACATAAAGTGGGCTATGACATAGTGTCAGATGCTGAGGTGGTAGAAGCAAAGGCATTACCACACACATTACTAATCAAGAGGCTGAGGTGATAGATTTCACCGTGCCTTCCAATTGGAACTGGGGCAACAGCTAAATATTTATACAAACTCCAAATATGCTTTTCATATTCTCCTGTCTCATGCTGGTTTCTAGAAAGAACACAGACTCCTTACAGCAAAGGGAGGATTCATATCTTGCTCACACCTAACACTGGCTATACTAAAGGCCTCCCAACTCCCCAAAGCTATAGGCATCATCCACTGTCAGTCTAAGCAGTTCAACAGTTCCATCGTCCCTAAGAGAAAAAACTAGGCTGACCAGGCAGCTAGGACAGTGGCACTCCAGGGACCAGACATCCCCCACCCACCACAGGAATCCACAAAGAGCAGGCCACATCCTCACATTCACCTCCTGACACTAGCCAAATTCTGTCCTACCTACATGGACTCTCTCAGCCTAATAGACTTTCTCTGTCTCAATTCATAAAATCCCATGTACAGCCTACCTCTGAGGACGTACAGTTCTTAAGAAACATTACTGCCTCCTGTGAAATTTGTCAAAATCAAATTCGAATTGCAAACATCAGAGCCGAACTTTTTCCTCCCAACAGGCTAGATGTTACCTTCCAGAACATAGATGGCAACTGACTTTTACCCATATGCCCATTGTCAAAAGAATTATCTCCTCATTAAAGCAGACTCATTATTTAATTGAGTCGAGCCATACCATTTTGTCATAAGCAGGCTCATACACTTGCAGATCTCCTTCTCCAGAAAATGATTCCTAATTTGGGGAATCTGCCTCCCTCCAGTGTGATAATGGTCCAGAATTCACCTCAAAGATTTGTCAGAACCTATCTAAGGCTCTTAATATACCACACCAATTTAATATTCTTTACCTTCCTCAACCCCCAGGGAAGGTAGAGCATCCCAACTGATCTTTTAAAAACATTTTTACTAAGATGTCACAGGAACTTCAGCTTGACTGGGTAAAATTGTTGCCTCTGGTTCTTATCAGTTCTAGGCTCTTCCCAAACATCCATTTCCAATTTCACCATTCACACTCAAGCATTGGAGACAGGCTCTAACCCTAGGCTTCCTATCCAAACCTTCACCTCTCCCTGGTCACACCCTCACTCCTCTAACTATCACCATTGCTCTCTCTTGAAGAATTTCACTGACCTTTCCTTTCCCCAGCCGTATGATAATCCATGTCCACCCCCAATCCACATTGGGGATCAGGTTCTTCCTTCCTATCCAGACTTGCACCCTTCACCCTTTCCCCTAAATGGCACAAATCCCTCAAAATGATTCTTTTAACACCCACAGCTGCTAAGCTTGAGGGCTTTCCCCACTGCATTCATCTATCCCATCTACAACCTATTATCCTACACTCAATCCAAGGAAATTCCCCCTCACACACAGTATCACAAACAAAGCCCTGCTGCTTTAAGTTCCAAAGGACACCAGGATCAATGGGCTTGTCACCAGTTCTGGAAGAATGAGGTTTCATTGCACAACCATACTCAATCCAACAGAATTGGGAATGACATGTGTTTTGTCTACTTCCTGGTTCCCTCTCTGAGTTTTTCTGCCTCTACTGACCATATTGTGCTTCATCTGGTTTCTCCTCTGTCTCTAATAACATATTCAAATTTCTAGTTAACTACTGAGCTGACTGTTACAGGACCACCATCAGCCATAGAGCCTGAGTTACAAGATATACCCAAATATACCAAGATGGTAAGAAACAATAACCAGAGGCATTTATACCTCCAGACTCCGAAGTGTCTAGGCTCTGCAAAACATACTATAATATAACAATCTATAACTGTTAAACACCCTCAGTACTTGATCATCTGTGTCTTCTGGATGGGGAAATAATAAAGGAAATTGGTGCCTTAAGTTTTGTCTCAGATGAAAAATAAAGGCCTGATTGATAATCAAATAAAAATGAAAGCAAGTTCTAGGTTTCTCTCTCCCTCCTACTAACAGGAACCAAAAAAATTCTGGTAGCAGAGTGCTAAACATTATAATATCATGGTTACCAGCTGAAGGTTTTAAATTTCCTGTGTGCTTCTCAATATCTTTAAAAATTCTTGCCAGCTCCAGAGCTGCCTTGGAACTACCTGAACAGGTCAGATCCACTTCAGATAAGTATCATTTAAATTGTCCTGAGCCTGAGACCCTCCTCCCTCACCCTAGGACCCAAGTGCACTCCCCCAAATAATTTCTTTCTAAACTTTTTCTTCTGCCTCACCAGCACCTTGTCAGATTCAATCAGCCAGATCCAAGAAGAGACAGAAAGGTCCATAGGGCCCAAACAGTGGAACAAAATCATGTACACCTCAGGATGACCAGGTACCTAACAGCTCCCCTTCTTATCCCCAAAAGTTAAGTGAGGCCTACAGCCTAATTTGGAAATAGTTCCAGAAGACACTGTGCCCCCATTTCCATTTATGTGTAACCTCTAACCCCTTATTTTTCATAAGAACAAAGAGTCTAGAATGTTAGAATTCGTAGCCACCCTCCCAGATAAATGATCGCACATGGAATGTCCAGCAGGCAGGTAAGACTCTTAGGCATTACATGGCCTTATATCCTAAGTAATACATGCACAGGGTTATCACATTATTTGTGAGCAGCCTGACAATGTAACCTATGAGCATTCATGGCATAGCTACATAGGCCCATATGCCCATGCTCGGGGGAACTATAAAAGCAGGTTCCACGCATTCTTCTGCCCCATATCCACACTGGTTATTTCCGACTTTACAGAGGAACTTTGAATGGCTGTTCAGGCTGCCGGCTGTCTCTGTCTACTGTGGCCAGTCTCCTGAAAGTTGCTTGTGCCCTTCTGGCATTTCTCAGGTCTGCATGGAGAGGATAATTGGACCACAGACCCGATTGCAGGTGTCTGAGATGATCTCAGATGATCTAATACTATCTTATACTTATCAGAATGGCCAAGAATAAAAGTAGTAGTGACAGCATATATTGAAAAACATGTGGATTAAATAGTGTTTGAAAACAGTGGGATATGTCGTGCTAGAAATGTCATCCAATGACTGAGGGAACCATATGCAGAGATCCACGGCCAGGTCCCAGGTGGAGCTCCAGGAGTCCAATTGGCAAGAAAGAGGAGAGTTTGTATGAGCCAGAATTGTTGAGACCAAGATTGGAAAAAGCACAGGGGCAAATAGCCAAACGAATGGAAACACATGAACTATAAACTAATAGCTGAGGAGCCCCCAACTGGATCAGGCCCTCTGGATAACTGAGACAGTTGATTAGCTTGAAATGTTTGGGAGACATCCAGGCAGTGGGACTGGGACATGTCCTCAGTGCATGAGCTGGCTGTTTGGAACCTGGGGCTTATGCAGGAACACTTTGCTCAGTCTGGGAGGAGGGGACTGGCCCTGCCTGGACTGAATCTACCAGGTTGAACTTAATCCCCTGGGGTGTCTTTGCCCTGGAGGAGATGGGAATGGGGGGTGAGCTGGGGGGAAGACAGGGAAGGGGGAGAACAGGGAAATCCGTGCATGATATGTAAAATTAAATTAAATTATAAAATAAAAAAAATTATAAACAAACAAAACTAAAATAAAATAAACCAGTGGAATATATGCTACTCAGTGACAGAATGGACCCAACAAATTCCCAGAGGTGCAGCAGTAATTATGGCTCCTGATATCTAAGCCATGAAGCTAGGCTCTCAGAGAATAGGAGGAGGGGAAAAGAGGCAAGCAAAATTGTTATGTGCTATTTCATACCTTAAGCTGAGCCTTATTAAACTGCAACTATCATAGGAATTTAGGATTTGTCTCATGATATCAAAAACAATACGGATGTTCTGTAAAGAAAGATTCAGACAAAAATATGTCTAGACATTTAACAGTGTGTTTAAAAATATACACATACCAATGTCTCTTCTATTCTTTTGTAATAGACACACACACACACACACACACACACACACACACACACACACACACACACATATCATACAAGAAAATTGCTGAGGAGTCTCCTGTACATAAAAACACAGAATTTGGTAAAATTATGTGCAATCATTGTTGTTCTTAAAAAAGAGTTCCTTTTAACAATTGTTTACATTATTAGGATGATATAAAAAGTCCCTTAAGCCATTCATAGACCTATTATCTCCACTTATTATGGTGATATTTTATTTTGTACTAAATTGTTATTTGTATGTTAATAACTAAAGTTGTCCGGGGGTCAGAGCTATTAGCAAGCCATAGGAAAGCCGGGCGGTGGTGGTGTATATTTATAATCCCAGCACTTGGTAGGCAGAGCTAGGTAGATCTCTGTGTGTTCAGGGATGCAGCCAGGATTGGAGTCACATGCCTTTAATCTCAATACCAATCATAGAAGAACTGGAGGTCTATATAGAAATGCAGTGACAAGGCCGTCATGTGGTTGGGTTTACAACCAATGAGAAGGCAGACCCAAAAGTCTATGTAAAGACTTTAACACAGGAAGTAGCTTTCTTTCTAAGAGGTAGGACCACCGCAGGAGGAAGGGTAAAGTTTTACCTCTTAGCTCTGAGCTCTTGGCTTTCTTCTTTGCATTGGTTCTGTGTTTCTTATTTAATAAGACAGTTGGTTACATCTACAACTTATAAGCACTCTGCTTTATTAATGTACATTTGCAGGTATCCGAACTACAAAACAAAGAAAACAACAAGGTAAAGTTGATGATTTGAACAGCTCCTTCAAATGTCATAATTTACCAACATTTGGCCCTTCATACAGTATTGCTGGTTTCATATGCAAAGACATGTCTAGTTTTCACTCTAACCTTTTTCAGAATTGCAGACATATAACATAGACAGGAACACAAACTCTACGGAATATAATAACTTCATATATTTCACATGGCCAGGAAGGTAGATGACTCAAAATGAGAACCTTCATCTGAACGTTCTCTGAAAGCATGTAATTTCTGACAGTCTTCTAAATATTTATCCTCATTACAACAGGCAACATTGGCTGTGACTGTCGGAAAAAAAAAGCATCATTTACATCACTAATACAGAACTCCAAATCTATTCAAATGGCATAGAACTTATAATGTTTTGTCCCAGATCACCTAATCAATCCAGAAACACACCATTAATCTTTGAATAAGAAAATATTTTATGCAATAGTCAGACAAAGTTTGTATTAAAACAAAAATGATGTCTGCATGAAGACAGTGTCTTCTAAAAAATATAGGGAATTAAAGAGCACAAATATTAGACAATTTGAGTGCCAACAAAATATTACAAGAAAGCAAGGAAATAACCAAAAATGGTTAGTGCAATAAAATCAAAATGGTAACTCCAACATAGATGGGAAACTCTCTCAAGATCCCACACATACTGATAACTTTACCATACCATACTAGGTTATAACTTCAGATAGAAAGCATCTAGTTCAGTTTTTTGCAGGCTGCTCTACTAAACAGGATATTCTATCCTTTCTAGAAATAGCTGAATCCTTATAATCCTGTGTTTCATTTTTTAAATCTCCTGGCTCATCCCTTATATGAGGCAGCTCAAGGAACCTGCATGAATCCTTCATTCACCCCATTATTAATCCTTTCCAGAAATTCCAATGGGCTCTGCTTCAGGACTCTGCACTACACTTCCCTGATCAACTCATCCATCCCTTCTCCGTCTATGTAACAGAAAGAGAATGTTATACTCTTGGGACGCTAGGGCAACAGCAGGGACCCTCCATTGCACCTGTAGCATACCTGTCAAAAAACTACACCTCACCACACAGGGAGGGTCAGCAATCATATGTGATTTGGGGGCTGTTATACTCCTTAATAGTGAATCAAAGAAACTAAATTTTAGGTCACCTAATCCATCACCTTCCCACCATAATTTGTTCCATATTTTAACTTACAAAGCCTTAAAAACTTTTTCAGCTTCTGAGTTTTTTCTCTCCAAGTGTTATTACTGGAAGATACAACACTTACTTTCCAGACTTGCCCACTTGTTAATACTTCAATCCTCCTTCCTAGAACTAGTGCTGACTATTCCACATCTCACCACTGCACTTAAATCCTAAAGGAATTTTTGCCTCATCCTTCACACACACAGGAGTGCACATTGCCTCAGGCCACTTACACCTGGTACACAGATGGCTGCTACTTTTTACAGGATGGGACCCATAAAGCAGGATATGCCATAGTGTCAGATGCTGGGGTGGTAGAATCAAAGACATACACTACTAACCAACAGGCTGAGCTAATGTCTCTCAAATGTACATTCTAGTTGGCACAGGGGCAATTCCTAAAGGTTATACATACTCCAAATACGCTTTTTATTTTTCTTTTGCAAGACAGATAACTCTGTGTATTTTTTGTGTGTGTCCTGAATCTCGCTTTGGAGACCATGCTAGCATTCAACTCACAGACATCTGCCTGGGTCTGACTCCCAAGTGCTGGAATTAAAGGCATGTGCAACCACCACCAGCTTAACCATTAAATTCTGATAGCAGCGTTCTAAAATATAAATTAAAATGAAGATTTTAAATTCCCTGTGATTGTCCCTTAATATGTTTGAAAATAATTCCAAGCGACAATGTCAGTTTGGAACTACATGGACAGGGCAGAAACACTTCAGAACTGTATCATTCAAAGTTTTCTGCTATCAGGACCCTCCTTGCTCCATCTGGGACCCCTTGTGGACCTACCCCAATAATATTTTTTTCTAAACTAACTCTTTAGCCTGCCAGTACCTTGTCAGATTATCACAGCAAGATCGAAGAAGCAAAGGAATAGTCAAAGATCATACACCGTGGAACACAATTAACTACCACAGAATGTCCAGCTACCTCAAAAATCTCCCCTTCTATACCCACAAAAGTTAACCAATGCCCACTACCTCAAATGAAAGCATTTCTGGGAGAAAATCTGTCTCCACTCCCATTCACCTGTATCCTCTAACCACTTATTTTTTATAAGAAAAACAAGTCTAGATTGTTATACTTCCTAGACACACCCCCAGCTATATGAAAATATGCACAGTCCAGCAGCCAGGAACAATGTTTAGTCACCACAGGACCTTATGTCCTAAGTAATACATGCACTGTGTGGTCACATAATTTGCGAGCAACATGAATATGTAACCTATCTAGGCGCATGCATGGCATAGCTGCATAGGCCCATATGCCCATGTTGGGAAGTCCCATATAGGCAGGTTCCACCAATTCCTCTGTACCCTATGCACAAAGGTTATTTCCATAATCCAATGCAACTTTTCCCTATTCCCTTTGCCTAATAAACTCTGATAGTGGGTTTCAATGTACCTCAAGTTTCTCTCAAAGTGTAAACAGTGCTGAAAAATAAATAACAGAGAGGAATGAGCAGGACCCTTCAAGTGTCTGTCAGATTCTTAAATCTGTAATGATTTATCTTACTTGCAGATACATAGTACTTCAGGACAGACACATGGATGTCATTTATTTTGTTTTATTTTTATAACTGTCGAGAAAGGCCAAGAACAAATACACTATTGGCAGCCTATGTTGAAAAGCATGTAGATTGAATGGTGTTTATAAGCAGTTGGCAGTTTGCTACTCACTGTCAGCATGGACCAACAACCTTCCAGAGCTGCAGCAGTAATCATGGCTCCCTGATAGCTAAGCCATGAAGCTAGGCTCTCAGCAAAACAAGGATGAAAAGCCATCCACAAATGATGGGTGTCAACCCATACACTAAGCTGAGCCCTGTTAAACTGCAACTATCATAGGAGTTTAGGTTTTGTTCCATGAGGTGAAAAACAATACAGATATTCAGTAAAAAAAAGATAATGGCAGAAAAATTATCTAGACATGTAACAGTGTGCTTAATAATATACCACATACAAGTATCTCTGTTGTTCTTTTGTAATCCACACACACATCATAAAAGAGAAATACTGAGGAGTCTCTTGTATATAAAAGGACAGAATTTGGTAAAATTATGTGTGATCAATGTTGTTCTTAAGTAGGATGTCATTTTAACAATTGTTTACCCTGGGAGGATTTTAATAACAGTCCCTTAAGCCACTGATAGATCTATTATGTTCACTTATAAACATTCTGTTTTACTATGGAGAAATTGCTGGTAACAGGACTACAATACAACAAGGAAAAGTTGATGATTTTACCAGCTCCTTCAAATGTCATAAATTACCAACATTTAGCCCTTAATAGAGTATTGCTGGTTTCTTATGCAAACACATGTCTGAAGTTTACACTCTAACTCTTTTCAGGAATTAAGAAATATCTCACTGACAGGAACACAAAAATCTGGCCAATATAATAAGCTAGCATGGTGCACATTGTCAGGGAGACAGTAGACCCAGATGATATCATTCATCTGAAAATTCTCTGAAAACATAAGATTTCAGACATTCTTCTAAAAATTCATCCTTATAGTCACAGGCAACATTGACTGTGACTTCCAGAAAAAAAAAACATCATTTACATCACTATTACACAACTCCATAACTTCCCAAATGGCATAGAACTTGTAATGTCTTTTCTCAGGCCACATATTCAAACCAAAACCCTCATCATTATTCTTAGAATAAGAAAATCTTAAATGCAATGGTCACACACAGATTTTATTAAAAGGATAAGGATGTCTGCTGTGAAGACAGTGCCATCTAAGAATGACAGGGAATTAAGAAGCATAAGTATTCGAAAATTTGAGCACCAACAAAATACTACATGAAAGCAAGGAAACATTCAAAAAAGACATTACAAGTTGCAATGCTAACACAGATGGGAAACTCTCTCAAATTTCCACTCTCAACAGAAAATCCATGTGACTTTGGTTGTGGCTTATTTTGCTCCTCTGATCTTTCAGAATTCACCCTAAACGCTGGCACCAAGTTTTTTATTAATAGGACCTTTTAAGATTCATGTTACATCTGGTGACCAATGTGGGGCTTGAAGGCACAACACTGAGATTAACAGTCTCCTATGGCTGGGGCTGTTCCAGGCCACAAACAGTGGCGGTGAGACTATGGAGGCTTCTGCTGCTGCTCTGAACTACAAGCTGCTTCTCATCATTTTGTGTTGATGGTGATGCTGCTACTGGAGTTGAATGGTTTACTACTGCTTATTCAGAGAAAAATTGCCAGGACCATCATGTTACAAGAAAGCATTAGAAAAGTCAATTTGGGGAAGTTTGGTGAGGCCATAGGTGGGGAGAAATTGCTGTTAAAGATATTCTCTTCTAGGGAAGAAGATTCATGGTTCCAAGAGACAGATATTTATCAGACTGTGATTGCTCCAAACCACAGAAGAGGCACAAAAACAATTACATAAAATAAAGAAAAAAAAAGAAAATTTCTATAGGAAACCATGGCCATGCCTAACAGCAAATTTGAATGTTCAAAAGCATGACAGCACCCCACAATGAAGATTCCACATGGACTATGATAAAGCTATTAAGCGGATTAACACCACTGAGAGATCAGTTTGGACTACAAACTGATCAGGAAATTTCAAGTTGGCTAGCTGAGATGATCCAGAGTCACAGACAACTCCATCAAGGACTGAGACAAGCTCTGCACTTTTACACTATGCAGAGACTAGATAACAAATGATACTGCTACATATTCCAGGACTTGACAAGTAACCCCCAAATTTTTTCAGGGCCTCATAAAGTAGTCTTTGCCTTCAAAAAGCAAGAAGTAATTTTAAGAAAACTATGCACACATGCCCAAGTGGTGGAGTGGGTGTTTTTTGGTTGTTCAATGGCTTATGATTAATTATCATGTATGTATATATTGCAAATATTTCTTCTAATAGGTTTTAATGTAAAACTTTTCAGACAGACAGCAGGGATGGAAATCAATGTCTCCATAGCATTTTAAATAAAATAGGAGTGGGTAGGAAAAAAAAACCATGGATAGCATGTGTAATATTTCTTTACACTGTCTGAATATATATCATTGTGATTGTTTTAATAAAGAACTTGACTTGTTTATACCTAGGCAGGATAAATTTAGGCAGGAGAACCAGACAATGAGGTTTCTGGGAAGAAGGGAGGAGGCCCAGAATTGTGAAGAGACTAAGAGAGAAGGATATGAACTTGCTATACTGAGAAAAGGAACCACTGCACATGGCAGAACACAGATAAGTATTATGAGTTAATTTAAAATATATGAGTTAGCTAGTAATAAACTTGAATTATAATTATTTATATGTCTCTGTGTGGTTATTTGGGAATAGTCTGCTGGAACACAAAACCCGAGCTACAATTGGCATTCCTACATTGGTCCAGAATTTACACATAATACTGAAAAAAAATCAATAAAAATGATGCTAAGCACTCAAAATAAGGGCTAATGTTGGATTACTGATCACTGGCTTTCCTCAGTAAGCTATTTCTAGTTTAAAACAGATGAATGGCTTTTTAAAGAGCAGGCTTCTTGACTGGGTACAGGCTACAAATAGGGGCATGGCACTTTTAAGAAGCTTACTTACAAAACATTTAAATGGATTTACTTTTTTTCATGTTTCCTCATGTAGTCTTTTTAATTTTTTTTACTTTTTTTCATGGTATAACAATACTTTCCCATCCTTTCTTGCTCACATACACTCCCAGTAAGTCCATTCAAATCCCAATCCACCTCCCTCTCCTTACAAATGGGGTAAGGTCTCTCTTGGGAATCAACAAAGTACTTAATATTAAGTTGAGGCAGGAGCAACCTCCTCAGCAC